ACAAGAGCAAGACTCCATCTCAAAAGACAACAAACAAACAAACAAACAAAAACCCCTGAGAATATATATTATGCTCTTTTTACAACAACAAAAAAAAACTGAAAAAAAGTATTTGATAACAGTGCAAGACAACAGGCAAGTAAGTTGTAGTGGAAATGCTAATCTAAAGTTCTAATTCCATAAATGGAGTTCATTCCATTAGCCTACAGCTCAACTAAGCCTAGCTGTAATGGTCCTCCCAAATTCTGCCACACTCTTAAAAGTCCTTAAAAGAGTCAGAGGGTAAGTGAAGGCTGATTAAAAGAAAAGCATACATTCTCTTCAAAGCAGAGTCCTGTGGTTGGCATCCTCAAAACAAGCTTTGAATCAGTCCATTCCTCTTTCTCCATTGGGTAGCCAGTAATAGGTCACTCTAATCAACTCTTTATTCAACCCTCCTCTCTATTAGAAATCACAACTCACCAAGCCCATCCAGCAAAGCTAACTCAATCACCCTCCCATTCCCCCACAGCACTGAGGCATGTTTACAATTGCAAATAAGAAGACAGGGTACAATTGGCAGTGCAGAGCCTCTAAATATAACACCATAAAGACTCAGGCAACAACTGAAATAGAAATACAATATTCTCTATGCTGATGGGCACTTCTTTACTTTCCATTTGTAGCAAGAAAATTGACAATACCATTTAAATAAAATATGTGCTTGTATTCACTTTTGCAAAAACTTTAATTGTTCACCTCCATCTTTGTAAACTTAGCAAGACTTCAATAGTTTCATTTAAGAATAACTTGTGGTTGATAGGTTTTCTTAGTGCTTTAAGACTGTAATTATATTCCTTTCCTCAAATCTCCCCCAAACTACACATAATACACATTGAATAACAGTGGAAATGTACTTATACTGATATTTTTGAATTTTCATATACAATTCTTTCATTTAGGCTACTATCCATACTATCATTATAAGAATGAGTCTGTTAAAATATGTTCCAACTAAAGCTTGGTGAACTTTGAATGCCAGATAAAAATCATTCTCTGAAGCTAATGAAGACAGAAACTCTGCCTGTAACAATATTAAGTTTGTTTTCTCTGGTGATTCAGAGAAGTGAGCAATCTGTCAGTAATACATTGAGTGAAATTACTTGTCTTGGAGGAATAACTGCTGACAGTCACTTTATCTCAGGGCTGACCCAAACAACTTCCTGCTGACAAACAAATTACTATGTCTAACTTTGAAAAGGTAACTAGCTTGTTTTAATTTTGATTGGTCCCTTACATACATATTCAGCCCCATCCTTCATTGTATTTAAAAAAAAAAAAAGGCAACAAAAGTGTTTTGGGGGGATAGGTTTGAACTTAAGTAAGAGAAAACAGTAAGAAAAGAATAACTCTATTACTTGATGCTAAGAAAAAGAACTGATATGCTTCTTTCCAAGACTGTTATGTGGATGTAACTGGTAAGCGTGTCTACCCAACATTAAGACTGGCAGTGCCGCCAGTGACTGACTGCGTGAGTGAACACATTACTGAGACAGTATTGTAGGAATTAATTTTCTTCAATAAAGTGATTTTTAAGGCTCATATATTTCACAATCTAAACATATGTCACTGTTTCATAAACAAAATAAATGGATTAAAATAATACATTACCAATATGCTGACACATGGAGATATTTTAATTAGAAATTCTTAAGCTGTGTGATATTTAACTGCTGTATTTGCTAAAGAGAAGCATGCATCATTTAATAAGAAGGCATGAGACAGGTGTATCACTTTGCATATGGTACCAGATTTTGTTTAATATAAGCTACAACTATGAGGCAACACTACTCCCCATTAAAAACAAAACAAAACAATACTAAGGATCTATCATATTGAAAGTAATCATATAAAAGTAATAAATACACTGAAGCCCCCTTTTCATTAAAAAAAAAAAGTCATCCAGAGCTTAGTTCCTGAGGCAATATTTCTTCAGAAACAATCTAACATCATCACTATTTAAAGGCTAAATTTACATGAATGCCTGATTATACTGGTTCCCTTTCCTTAGCATTCTTTTTGACTTACTTAAGGACCAATGCTAACATAGCTGAAGAAAGCAAATGGCAACTGGTCCTGAAATTTATACGGGTGAGAGAATTGAAATAAGCAGCAATATAATATATTGTTTACTGTAGCAAATGCCCTCTGTTCTCTAAAGGTCAAAAGCATTGTAACCTTAGAGTTACAGTTTCTGATTGTTCCCAGGGTTAAATACATTATCAAAATTAATGGTTCAAACCCCTCAACCTTCAGATATATGAGTATTCATGCCTGCATCTGCTGAACTCTTCAACTAAAAATAGCACTCTTTGGCCTTCTTTCTCCTAATATTGTGCCCCTGAGAAAGAGAAAATCAAGCCTTAGATCACCACAGTAGTATTTTAAAAAATGGTCTTTATGGAATCTTCCTTATTTTAAAGAAAGAAAGTAATGGCATATGCTAATATAAGGGGAGTCTTTCCATTTTAAATAGCTTTTCTCTACCTGATAACAAAATTTCAGGGCATACTTAATATATACCAAATGTTGTCAATATTTACTCAGGCTCATTAATTTTAGAAATGATAACCTTTGAAGGACAATTAACTGTAACATGAGGTAGAGGACCAGTTCTGAGTAATGCATGGGGTGAGGTGGGGTGGCGAAGTATATGTGTTATAAACTTTTCCTCCTAAGAATCTCTGTTTAGAAATAAAACCAGTTAATATAATTGTAATGCTTTTTTAGCAGCAATAGTTTATCAGGATCATGTTTGTTGACAGACTGTGACATTTTAGCTTGTCAAAGGAAGGGAGAAAACCCTAGCTAGAAAAGAAAGCAGATTCTAATAGCAATAAAGCAAGATATTATTAAAATTTCCCTCTACGCCTGCTCAAGATTTAAAATGTTACTATCTAGCAGCTTAGACATGGGTGTCCTACTATACTATTCATTGATGTCCCAATAAACATGCTACACTCAGACCAGGAAAGTTTGGGAAACCTGCCTTTCAAACAAGGTCAATCTTTTCTACCCAGTGTCCACATGAGCAAACAGATCAAAGGTTTCCTGAGATGCAGGAAAAAGGTGCAAAAACAGGAGGCAATGGAACAGAGCAAGAATAAGCAAAAACTGAGGATACAAAACCAGCCAAACTTAAAATGCAAAGCTGTGAAGGCTCTTGCATTATTGGTTTCCCCGTTTAGCCTAATTGAAATGACAGACATGTGACATATGCTATGCTTCTAGATCAGCATCACTATGGCACTACACAGCTCTGACACTCCTATGCATGGCATCACGGTTTCCAGAAACCCAACAGAAGCCAGATTTGACACATCAGGGATCCATGATGGTGTGGGACTAGGGATTGTGAGGTGGGAGAGAAGCCAACCTAAGTGAAAAATTAGGCAAAAAAAGAGACTGAGTAGAAACCTGGCTAAGGGAAGATTGACGGGATATAACATAACACCTCAACAGAAAATAGAAGTCCAACAGGAGAAGATGTTCTTGAGTTTGAGTCAAGGCTACCTGATCTCACATTCTTCCAGGCATTTAAAAGTTTCTCAAGCTGACTGTCCTGAGTGGATAAGCTTGCTAATTGTCATCACACAAAAACTTGTTCCTAATGTCCAGTAATCTCTTTTCAGCTCTCCTGGGCATAGTAGGTTTTCAGATCGTCCAGAAATGTGGTACTCTCTCTACAGCCAAAAGAAAAGCTTAGAAAAGAAATTTCTTCTGTCTGTATAGGAGACAGGAGATGCTCTTACAGTAAGTATCTAATCATGTCTGAGTGGAAACCCTCTGTCTACCTCTCATGTCAAAGCAAAAGGAAAGAAGGAGGCAGTTAACAAGCTCTGGAACTTTACCTGAGGCTACTTCCAAGGGGGTCTTTGGTCTTGTCTCTTCCTTCTTCTTAGCAGTGATCATTTCCTATTATTTTCCAAAAAGGTAGATTCACAAGCAGCAGAAAAGGTAATGTAAAAGGGACCTTTTATTGACTACATAGCGTTTGAGCTACACAGACCAGCAGAGCCAACAGAAGCTGAATGTGCATCTTCATCTTACTAGATGCAATTATTTTCATTTTGGGGTTGAGTTTTCCATCCTAGGTTACAATATAAAATTTGGCATTATATCTAACCCCCAAAATTAAAGTGTGTTTCAGTCTGAGGTAACCTGTATTCACTTTTTAAAAATTCAACAGATAGCTGGAAATTCTCCCATATGATAGTCCCAGTGAGGGACCCCAATGATGCAGAAAAGGAATCAAGCATGAAATTGGAGAGAGGAGGACTTGGTCTTTATAGAAGAAAAGGTCTTGGTTTTCATAAGCCATCTTCTCTCAAGTGTTAAGAATATCCCAAAAACACAACAAAGGACTCTACTAGAAGGCGAAATATGAAAAGAATACTACAGGGAAAAAGCAACCATCAAGGCCCAGGCACCCATCCCTATTTCATTCTGAGAAAACTAGGTAGGTAGAATTAGAAATCCTGGGCAATAACCTTGATTCAACAAACATTTTATATCTTTGGCTAAATAACTTAACCTCTCTGAACCTCAGCTACTTTATCTATAAAAGCAGAATTACATTTGATTAAATTAGGGTTATCCTATGGTCAAATAAATTTTTTAATGTTTAAGTTTTTTTAAAAAAATACTATATGACAGTATACATTAGAAAAGGTAAAAGAGTGAGGGAAGAAAGATAGTTTTGAAGACACTTATAATGTAAAGCTTTTGCCTGAATATATATGGCAAAGAACAACCTTAATTCAGGGGCATTGCTTTGGGATTTGCTTTTTTCTCTGAAAGAAAAGGAGCAAAACAAGAGCCTTTTTAGGAATGAGAAAAAGGAAATGATTAGGTTTAGTGTTTAGGCTGAGTGCCACTTTAAAAAAAAAAAAAAAAAACCTAGAGTATGACTGAACAATGCAGTCCCCCACCCAATGAAGCACCAATGGAAGCATTCATACCTCAATCTGTTTGTGGTTGTAAGAGTGGCCACCACCATGTTCAAAGGTATCCAAATTCCTGCCAAAACGGTCACTTAAGCCCTTTAGCCTTGGATTAATTTGTGGGTGGGATACATGACCCTTCTGTTTAGTAGCATATTCAGAAAAAAAAAAAAAAAAAAGACAAAACATACTGTCAGAACTCATGAAACAGGATCATATTTCTAAATCCAGGGTACCGAGCACATCAAAAAATAGAAAGTAGAAAGTTTAAGACTCAGTTTCTTTCTTTTACAGAAACTTGGTTATAGTATCAGTGACACTGATTTCTTGTTTCTGCCTCTGACTCAAGAAGATACTCAATAGCACAGCTATAGGAAAAGGAGAAATATACTAGGTTTATAATAGTGAGGGTTCTTTTTAGACTTGCACCAACTACAGAGGTTTCGGAGTTAGTAGTGTGGAAGGTGAAAGTTTGCAAGAGAGGTGAGGTTGCTGCTTCTCTTAGGCAAAATTTCTGGCTCTGCTAGGCAGCCTATAATGGGTTACATCTTTATAGCTTCCTGGATCATGACTCATGACAAAATTTCTCAAAGTATTGCAAAATTTCTTTATTTGAAGATCCAACCGGAAACATTCAAAATGATGTTTTTTCATGATACAATAGTTGTACACTTTTTATGTTCAAGTCACATATAGAATAGCAACACAGAAATAAAACACTTCACCAGATGCTATTTTGTAGATTATTTATGAAAACTCAAAAATAACTACAGTATATTTTAAAAATAAAAACTATATTTAATAAAACTTTCTACTATATTTAATTCAAGTTGTTGATTATCATATATTCTCTAAATATTCAAATACTGAATGCTTGACTTATTTTAATGATCTCATCTTTTTGTTTTTATTAATACAAATATACACTCATAATCAAAGTCAACCTCCTTTCAAATGGTAGTAGTAGAAGTGTATAATGACCACCTATTTCTATTCCAAACTTATTTTACTGTGAAGAAGATAAGGTGTAAATGATTTTTCAATCAGTTTCCAAAACATTTTCTCCCCAAGTTTAGCTTTATAAATATGAAACACCAATGCAAAATTAATCAGACACTATGCCCTGACTCTTGATCTTAGAAAGGATAAGGATACACATATTAGGAGAAATGCATTTACATTTTACCCAATAATTATTATGTAATTTGAGAATAACAACCCTTTATTCCATGAGCTACAAGAAGGAAAAATATCCAACATCATTTTTTGTATGTTACATGTAAAAGCTAATCTGGACATAAGTGGAGACACAGATGAAAAACTGACAAGGAAAAAGCTAACATAGATGCAGTAACAACTAGCCATTGACACTAAAACTATTAACTCATCTGATAGAGAATACATAGTATTAAGTCATAATGTGATTTTTTTTTCCTTTAAAAATATTGAAACTGGCAGTTTTCTCTTTTATTTGCATTATGGTAAGCACATAAGGTGTTAATCCTTCTGGGCTATGCTTAAAAAATTATTTAACATTCAGGCCATTATTTAGCATACAGCTGGTTAGCAGTTTTCTACTAAAGTACTGGCTCATATCCCACATTTTTTTCTTCTGGCACTTACCTGGAGCTGTAAAGGGCTGAGTCCAGAAGCAGCAGCAGCTGCCATTGTTGATGGAATGAACTGTACAGGGTAGTTATCACCTGTCGGAAAGAACAATGCATACAGGTTTAGACAATGCACAGGGAATTGCAGCAGGCAAGTACAAACATGGTCCTTGGATTGCCTGAGCTTTACAACATTGCTCTAAGCCCAAACATCTGCAGAAACAAAAGGCTTAGTTGGGCACAGACTTGCAGTGCTGCCTTGGAACTTTTTGTTAACAGATAGCTGGTAGGCAAACTGGCAAAACATGAATATGATGTTAAAAAAATTAAATGTGCAATTCAAGCATGTTCACTCCATTACAAATCTTGTAATACATCATTTTTAAGAATAAAAAAATATCTTAAAGCTAGGCTGACACTGAGTATACTGGGAAAGCATTGAGGCTTTTATATTAGAACAACAAAAAGTTTTGGCTTGGTAGGCAAGGCAGAGTATTAGAGTCCAAAAAGGGTTCTGAGCTATTGACTGTTTGTAATTCTACACTTTATTTTATTAGACAAATTTAAAAATTAAAAAATACAACCTCTTCAATATGATAGGGCCGAGAGGATAGCGAATCTTATCTTCCAGCATTCTGTGAAACATCTGGTATCCCCATAAGTGTAGAAACCATGTTTTTCTGAATTAACCTTTGTTACTGAACTGGTGGATCCTAGTACAGAATGATGCATACTAAGTACTTATGAAACATGTTTCAATGATGCTTTGATTAAATAACTACACATTTTACATGTAATATCTGTACTAATGCCTGGTAAAGATTGAACGTGGTTCAGCAGAGATGAATGCTACATCTGAGTGTGTTTCTAACTTCAGATTATTCCTAAAAAGGGAGACAGAAGTACCTTCTGTGACCTAAGAACACAGGCTGTGTGCAGCAACCTGAAGAACCAAAAGAAAGTAAGAAGGAATATATCATGACAGTGATAACTAAAACAAAAATTAGTACATGTGGATAAATTACACGATATCAGTGATTTAATGGAGTATCACTTTGGCTTCAGCTACTTACTTAAAGTCAGTGTTATGTACTATCTCTAGGCTATATTTTAATAGGCTGTTCCTCCACACATTTTTGACATTTATAAAAATCATGCTGTTTTGCATGAACTTTTCCATAGTGAAAGCTGAATGTAATAATGAATATACAGCTAGAAAGAATCTCAGTAATAAAGGGAGTCAACTGGAAAGCAAACTTTTTTTTTTTTTTTTCAGTATGGACACTAATACCTGTAGCCTTCTTGGTGCCTCTGGTTCTTGGGAACTCATCCTGCTTGCCACATGAAGTGCTACTCAGCTGGTCCAATGTAAATGTTAAGTTGCTTTCACTTTTAACAAATTGTTAGCTTCTAATCTACACAGTCTCTTTGCATCATATCCATAATACCTCATCAGACCATTGAGCACAGTTTGTGCTTGTACACAGTCCAGTAACAATTGGCTTCTGATTGCATATGAAGCACTGCTACAATGCATTCACTAACATTATATTGTGTAGGTCTCCTATGGAGTAATGTTCAAAATATCTGATCTTGTTTTTCTCCTTCTATGAGGTTGATTTTGGTTTGCAGTACTACATGAGCCTTTTAAAAAACATAACTAGGCCTAATTATTTTTATAGTAAACGAATGTCACTTTATGCTTAAATAATTCTACTGATCTTCTTGATATTTAAACTAAATTATCTAAAGAAAGAATATCCTAATCTAAGTCAAATAGTATTTCTTTGGTAGATATAAAGTTTTTTAAAAAAATCTCAAAATGATGCTGAATTAATGATGCTTCAAAAATAGGGGGAAAAATCACCATTCTAACTGGACTGCCTCCTGGAACATTTTAGAGCTGTTCTTTCTTTAAATATCATGCATTATTCATACTAACTCTAAACCACAACCCCCCCTCCCTGTAAGTTTAATACCAGTTGCTTTATTTGTACTAAAATATTTTTCATGTCAAACATATTTAAAAAAATCAAACTCTAAAAGAATTCCCTGGGGCACTCCTTTTTAAATAGCTGTCATGCTTCTATGCTATGAAATAGCTTTTTTTTTTTTTTTTTTTTTTTTACAGTTTTTGGCTTGCCAGCTAATTTATTACTATCTCTACCACACCCTATAGTACTTTCCAGCTCACCTGCTGGCTACAAACAGCTTTCTTTCCACTGCTGACAAGCATATTTTAAAAACATTTTTAACTTTCATCTTGTTTTGAATCTGTATATCTGAATATAATCTTTAGAAAGCTATTTCTCCATAACATATCATTGTTTCAATATTAACAGTAAAAATGAATACATTAGAGCAACAGAATATATATCAGGGAATGATTAGAAGAAAGAGAACAAGAAAAAGACAGGAGGGGTAGAAGATGAGGGAGAAGAGAGGAATTACAAGTAGAAAAGAAAATTTTAAGAGAGAGGGATTTAAAGGTATTGTGAAATTTTGTTTTTTAATAACAAAGTCACATGTTTCCCCTATGCCACTGTAATTTTCTGTGTAAGTCAATCAAGAAAAAGTTCTCAGTTCCTGACTTGGCAAGGAATCAGTCAACATGTTGTAGCAATTTTTTTCAAATTTGTCTCTGGGTCTGAAATGCTTTCATGAGGACCCATTCTTTTAAAATTTGGACATGGAAGGTGAAGCTTGTTGAAACAGGTTGGCTTTATGCGCTACTGTAATCTGGCCCTTGCTACCTCTAGTGTAAGAAGACAGACTTCAAAAACCAATTTGAGAAATAATGTCCATTCTGTAAATCCATTTTTCCAGCTTTCCAAATATTGCAACTGCTGTTTTTATCTTGTTCTGTTTTTATCAGAACAAATATAAAGTAGGATTTAAAACATGGAAAATTTGCTTGACGTTAGCTTCACTTGCCAGAATAGGCAGCGTTCCTTTGGAATCAAAGCATCAAGAGTCCCTAAATGAGAGAAAATAAATTCTTAAATTTTCATAGAAACTTACACGAAGCAGAAACTTAGTAAAACTTAATGGCAGGAGAAGGGGAGCTTCTACTAACAACCTATGACCCACTAGATTCAGGCTACCTTCTGCAAGAATACTTTCTATTTGAATAATTCAGATATGAAGTCTATCTTTTTTTAAAAAGAGAAAGCCAAAAATCCCTTGGGTAAAAGTCTGTCCATTTATTTTCATTCTTCAGAAAGACAAGTAACTGGGATAGTTGCAATACCCTGAGATAATAACTTCAGATATTAACACATTGAAGAAATAATTTAGAAAGTTTGGAAAAAGGAGGAGGAGGAGGAGAAGGAGGAGAGAGAGAGACGAGAGAGACAGAGACAGAGACAGACAGAGAGAGACAGAGAGAGAGAGAGAGAGAGAGAGAGAGAGAGAAACAGAACTAGAAGACAGGACTCAAAAGATTCTTCAGTAACTACCCCGAAGTAGGAATTCAGTCTCATTTCCCAGCCTCCAAAACTGAAGAAAAATGTGTTATACATCCCCAACTAACTAAAAAATGATTGTGTGCTAGAATCATTAAATAAGTTGCCAAACAACTGTAGAGCCCACCTTTATGAGCTACAGCCATTCTTGTTACAATATGAACATATTTGAATTGCAACCACTAATACAAACTTGAACATACCACTTAGCACGGGTCTTGCCTGGATGCATGTATTTGGTATAGCAAAATATTACAACTATTCTATACTCTAAGGAATGTCATACACTGCAGTAAATGTTAGCAGGTAATAGGTGACACATTTAGACCTTTAAAAATAAAACAAAAGCTTCAATTTGTTCTGAAGACAAATGAAAAATAAAATTAGCAAGGATTATATATATTGCTGAGATCACTATGTTATTTCTCCTGCTAAATTTCTCCCCTTTTCATCAGAATAGAACAATAAGGAAGAGTCTTGATCTCAGAATTTCTTTTACGATCATCTGCAGTGTTTTGTCTACCTTTAAGAAAGCTAAGAATCAAGGCTCAATCTTACTTTCTTCACTTATTTCACAGCTGCATCCAAACCCTTGACCAATCAATCATCTGAAAATCTGTGGAATTTGTCACAATAGCAATTAAATAAGTGAGTGTGAATGAACTCCCATAAATTCATCCCCACTACATAAAATCAATTTTTAAAATCCTCGGTTTCATACGAGGGATGCAAGGATGGTTTAACATAAGTAAATTAATAAATGTGACACATCGCATACACAGAATTAAAAACAAAACTCACATGATCATTCCAATAGATGCAGAAAAAGGATTTGACAAAATCCAGCATCACTTTATGATTAAAACCTTCAGCAAAATTAGCATAGAAGGGACATATCTTAAAGTAATAAAAGCCATCTACAATAAACCCGCTGCCAAAATTATACTGAATAAGGAAGAGTTGAAAGCATTCTCCCTAAGAATTGGAACAAGACAAGGATGTCTACTTTTACCACTTCTATTCAAGATAGTACTGGAAGTCCTAGCAAGAATAATCAGACAACAGAAAGGAAGAAAGTGCATCCAAATCAGTAATGAGGAAGTCAAAGTGTCACTGTTTGCTGGTGATATGATTATATACCTAGAAACCCCTAAAGACTCCTAGAACTGGTAAATGAATTCAGCAAAGTTTCAGGATACAAAATTAATGTACATAACTCAGTAGCTCTGCTATACACCAACAGTGACCAAGATGAGAATAAAATTAAGAACTCAACCCCTTTCAAAATAGCTGCAAAAACAAAATAAATAAATTAATAAATAAATTAATTAATTAAATAAAATACTTAGGAATATACCTAACCATGAATGTGAAAGAACTCTACAAGGAAAACTACAAAACACTGCTGAAAGAAATCATAGACGACATAAAAAAATGGAAACACATCCCATGCTCATCGATGGTTAGAATCAATATTGTAAAAATAACTATACTGCCAAAAGCAATCTACAAATTCAATGTGATTCCCCTAAAAATACCACCATCATTCTTCAAAGAACTAGTAAAAAGAATCTTAAGATACATATTAAACCGAAATGAGCCTGCATAAACAAAGACAGACTAAGCAAAAAG